CGTACTGGGAATTCCAAATCTTTATTGTCGGGGTCACCAAATTGTACCAATAAAATATATGTTAAAATGATTTTTACGATTTTATTAATACTTCACAACTAATGTCATTATTCCTTCAATCTACGTTTCCCCAGCTACCGAGTTGACTGCTACATGTCACTTGGCTTATTTCAAAAGATATGCACTAAAAATTGATATGGCACCCCCAACAGAAGGGTTGTGTGTAGGCCACAAATAGTAGTTTGTGCAACAAAAGTGGTTATGATGGCCATATCGCACGAAGACGAAGTTTAAACACGACAGCGAGTGCTCAATCGTCTGAGTGCGATACGAGTTGTACAATATATTTTTTCTACGACCCACTAATGAAAAGCTAAAAATTTTAAAAATTATTTCAGGTTATTAAGATAAAATAACTAATTTAAAAATACTTTTTCCTACGACCACTTAGGAAAGTGACACATATCACACTATATAGTCCTATGGAAAGTGCCCTATATCACATGCGTATGAATAAGAATTTACTTTCCAACCGTGTACGAATATGCTACTTTCCGCAGCAGCTGTCACTAAATGTCAAACACATAATTTCTATTTTGATCTGTGTAATGTTGTAACAACCACCGTCACTTAGAAAGTAACTGTTGTCACTAAATACTAATGTAGTGGCCAAAAGGACTCTAGTCATCAACGGGGGGTACACTGTAAGTATAAAGGCAGCGACTGTCACCAGCCACAGTCAGGGGATAAGGTCCTTAGAGCTTATTCACTCTCACAGTGACAAAAAAAGGAAAAAATAAAAAATAAAATAATAGGTTTAAAATAAAAGAATTTTCCCCCGTGATGAATAGTGCGAGCGGATTAAAGAAATGGTTTGGCAAACTGACAATAGGCACCTATAGTCCTTACTCGGAGGTAGGTTCGCCGGGGCTTCGCAAAAGTGCCCGAAGTGTCTTTTTACATAAGGGGAAGGTAGACCTGATGAAATCGAATATATTTTGGTTAAGAAATAAAAAAGAACATCTAAATAATTATTCAGTTATCTAACTCTGGACTTTGTTAGATAGCTTATCTGAACTAGGGGTTGTTCCTCTTATAGAACTCGGGCTCTTAACAACTCTTAACACACAAGATAAAAACAGGTGAACGTTTAATAACTTAATATATTTAGCTCAATATATTTAAACATGTAACAAATTTTAATCATAGACAAAAAACGATCAAGTAATACAATATATTTGGAGGTACAAGATCCACCCTGAGGTTCTCGCCTGATTCGGTAAATCAGTCGACGATAACAAAATACCGATAAATAATGTAAGAATAGATAGCAAAAAAATGTCAGAAATCTCGTTGGATCTTGTAGCTACCAAAGTCAAAAAAATAAACTATATCACTTCTTATTAAAATCTACGATGAGAGGTAACAAAATAATTTGGCAACATGAAAAAAAAAAGAGAGAACTGTCACAATTTTAATGTAGTGAAAGAGGAAGGCTTACCTTGCTCGAAACGTACTTTCGATTTCACTAAGTTTAAATTGATTGGCTGATATTTATTATTAAATCACAATTTAAAAAAATTAATTTATAATTCCCGATATACGATTTATCGGCGTCGGTGGGTAGTCGGACAGCGTAACGTCCGGCCCACTCAGTAACTGTCCTTTTCCCCCGTTCCCACATCATTTTTATATTGATTGAGACGTGCTTTCTTTGAAATTTATGGTCAACTCATATATTTAATTTACTTTGATATTATAGTAACTGTTTACTATTTCTAAGGTCAAATGAAGAAAGGTACTTGAACATTTATATGAGATTTTTATGTAAAATCTTTAGATTAATTAAAATAATTGCCAAATTATTACAATGTCCATATTAATATTAAAATCGATATGATTGTTAAATTATTGAAATTGTTGTAAATTAGATCCTAGATATTTATCTTTAACAATTATTATCAAAATAATTTTAAAATAACTAAGATATGTTTGCTTTTTATTCTGGTTATACACATAACCGATTAGATCATTCAATTGACGCAAGGCCTATTAGCTCAGATGGTTAGATTGTCAAACTTATCAACTTTGCCATTCGAGACCTGGCGAGCGACCGCGTTCAAATCCTGGCGGGGCCAGAATTTTTTTTATTTTATTTTTTTTTGTTTTTTTATTTTTTTTTTGTTTAGAAAATATGAAAATTGAATAAATACGATTATTGTTGATTATTTTTTAAATACATTTTATTTATTATAATAATAACCTGGTTTTACATTTTTTGATGAAATTATTTTGTGGTCGTAGGAAAAATATTGTACATCACTTGTGTGAAAAGTGATTTTCCACACTCGTGTGAAAAATGTCACTTTACACACTCGTAATGTAATATACTATATAACTTTTTCTAATTTATATATTAGAATAAACTTGAAAAACAAAAAATATTTAATTTAATTGGTTTCCAACTCTAGAATTGAACCTGATATATCTACATGAAAGTCTAGTCACTGCTCCATCGCCACACATAAAATTTTATTTTTAATACTCGTTATTAAATTGTATTTGTAAATATAGACGAAATAATAATAGAAATATTTAACGATTCTACATAAGAATAGCTCTTTTAAATGTATATTTAATCTCAATAACTAAATAATAGTAGTCGGGTAACAAAAATAGGAACTATGATTAGTGGATTTCATTTTTTTTTTACAATGTTCTTACTAAGTAGAATGGATATGAAATATATTCGTTCAGATGAACGCAATGGCATACTTTTCTGTTTTGAAGTCTGTCCGTAGACGTAGGGCGTAGAAAACATTTTTTTTTGTAGTTCTAAAATAATATTAAACATTTTGTATACTGTGATATTTTATTTCTTCCATGTAATTTAAAATATTTTTGCTATTTTTTAGAATTAAAAGAAAACCTCAATATATGGCATTATTTCACCCCATTTTACGAATATACATTTATTTATTTATTACTTAAAAATATTTAACGGAATCGTGTATATTGGAGTATAAACGAACATGATTGTTTTAATATATTTGTGTAAAAAAAGTAAAAAATAAAAATAGCTCTATTTAAATAACATCAAAATTAAATAACATATACTAGTATTATTTTAATAATTATCATAAATATTATATAATAAATGTGTAAAGTGTTGCCTGGATGTAGGAAGAACTCATTGTGTCTAGCATGTTATAGTTAATTCGTTAATTGTAATCCTTAACATTTCGCATGAATTAGAAAAGGTTCTTCTTTTTCCAAAACATGAAGAATATGGGTTAACTTTTTAAGATCTAGACCTCTACATTACATAAAAAATACTATATTGTGTCTCCCTGCGTAATAAATAACTCCTTTATTACATTACGAGTTTGTAAAGTGACATTTTCCACGCCAGTGTGAAAAATCACTTTCACACAAAATTATTTTATATAAAAAAAAGTAAAACTAGGAAATCTAGGAATAAAGGTTCTATCAAGATGTAACTAACTAGTTTTAGATTTGTTTTTATATAATTTATTGAATAATTTTTAAAGTGTCAAAATTAAAAATATTGTGATTCCATTTGCTAACAATTTCATAGGACGATAAAGATAAAATAACATTAGATACAGAAAATATAAAAATACATGATTGTTTTTCATTAGTTTATTTTTTTTTTTTTTTAATAAGTTGAACAACCGTGAACAAACACTTTTTTATTATTAATGATTACCTACTTCTCTACTAACAATTTTTTACTGAACAGTAATTAAAATAGTACAAAATACTTTGCGAAAGGAATATTGTAAGGGTTATAATATTATGATAAATAACATGTATTTTAAATATTAAACAATATTAATCTTATTTTTCCAATTTTCATATTTTTTTCCAAATAAAACAATAAAAAAAAGATTATTAACCAGCGTCACGAAATGCCAAACTGAAAAAGTTAGACACTATACGATCTGTGCTATCCTGGTTTTGTTATTCGACCTATCTAATTAAATATGTAGGTATATGATCCAGAAAAAATTAAATAAATAATATAGGTAGGTTAGTTACTTTATTTACAACCATATATGTAATGTTGTCATTACTAACGTCATTGAAGGTTGGGAAGTGTCACATTACACACCTCTACTTCCCGCCCTTACTTCCCGCCCTCACTTCCCGCCCTCACTTCCCGTCCTCATTTCATCTATTCTAGATGAATGTTTTTTATATTTAAAAAAATAACACTTTTTTGACAAATTTTATAATACCTATTTAATGGCAAACAATAAAAAACAACAATGAACTAAAATACAACAAACTACTTATTGATATTTATTATTCGCGAATTTAATATCCGACTTTATCTTACATTTATTTATATTGGTGACAGTTGTTTACCCCCGTAATCACAGTAACAATATATTTACTTGATTATTCTGAGAAAACCGCGCGCTTGGTAATTTGTCGTTAAATGTAATATTTTAGGTATGTTCAGAACGAAACAGAGATTTATTAACTTTGATCGAAATATGATTGTTGTAAATAAAATAGTATACAAACCTCGAGATGTCTCGAGATCATAGCTAACCTCGACGCTTCGCGTCTCGGTGATCTAACTAATCTCACGACAAGAATGAAACTCTTCCCACCTCGGTGTGTAATATACTGTTACAATTATTTTAATAATTTGTTAAAAAGAAATATCTAAGATCTTTATTTAAAAATTAGTGTTAACAATTTAATCATCAAATCAATTTTACTATTAAAATGTCCATTTTATATCAATCAAAATAGAAATTAGACGTCTGACAGCTTATGCGGAAAGTAGGTTCATATTAACACATGGGTGGAAAGTAGACTTTCCTAAGTGGTCGTAGGAAAATGAAGTTTTAGAAATACAATATAACACCCTTTAGAACTAAGATTTTATTATCAGATTCAAGCTATATACTACAAAATTAGATAATAAAAATATTCTTTATTGATTCAAGTATGTTTTTTTATAGATCGACAGGGCCAGTGCCGCTAATGTCAAAAGGTCTAAAGAAGAAATTGCTAACGACAATGAACAAGAAGACGAATTTGGATATACCATGAGTGAGTAACTTTTTAACTTTCCTATTAATTCCTTTGTAGTTTGGTATGTTAAAGTTCCAATGGGCTTTAAACGAATATACATGTTTATTTCCTGTCAATATCGATCGATATTTAGGTACAATACAATACAAAGAATGTTTAACCTTAAAAATAAATAATAAAGTTTATATAACTAGCTTACTAATGGAAAGTTTTTCCCGTAAATACAGGCTCCGTATAAGTTTATCTCACGCTAATGATTATTTTATCACAGCACTTTAAATGTAGACATACCAATTCGTATGTTCAGATTTGATTAAAAATTTGAATTTCGCGCCATTGGAAGTTCTGCATGCTCGGTCGGTTTGCAAGAAATTAACAAATTGTTTGAAAACAGACAAAAAATACAATGGTCGAAGCGTTTAGGGGTTTTCCTAAAACATTGCTGTTCGCTTTTAGTCGCCATTAATAATGAGTCTTACCTGATTAATTTTCAGTGTCTCTATAAACAAATCAGTTCAAATTCGACGTGTTAATACCGTCTTTATCGTTAATGTGATTCCCAAGCAAATACAATCCACATCCCCAACTAGTTATTGATAAAAGTGTACTTGTTGTGAAGGCAAGATCCAAATCTTTCCATCTCTAATTCGGAGTGAGAAAACCGATTATGTTAGCTTAACATGGCAACAGTGCGTCATTGTTTGCTGACTGCATTGAAAACATCAGTCGTATAGAAAAATATTTAATAATTATTATTTTCTCGGTAAGTATTTATATATCGATTTTTTTATTATTAATTATTGTTTTACCAGATATTCATTGTATTCTAAAAATACTTACTGTCCAAATAAAAAAGGAAGCCAGTTGTTGTTTACTGTAGAATACCTGTATCTCAGAAATTATGCGCCGTAGAATTTGATGAAAATATTGTCAACGTACCTGCCTGCAAGTGGTTACGAGAATTCAAAGAAAATTATTTTCGAGTGTCTGAGTTTACTGCTAAATTTCAAAATGCGTATGACCAATGATAAACGAGTGAATAGTCAAATCAGAGTTGAATTTTTTTTCCGAATATGATTTTGATATGTTTTACATAACTTTGACTTTTTTGTAAACGAGTTTTTATCAGTGATAATGAGCGTTGCACCCTCTAGCTGTGAACCTGAAAATAATTTCCAACAATTACTAAGACAGACTTTTGTTAAAAAAAAACATTAAATAAATTAAATGATTGGGTTGAATTGAGGAATTGAGTACTCAAGTGTGTATACACCGTGTCCCACGTAAGGCGGGCATTACAACTTTATGGAGAATAAATTAATTTGTATTTTTGCCATTTTCTGAGTATACATAATCGAATATGCTCTTTTGAATTAAAATAAAATGAACTCTGTGCAACTTCCGGTTATACCGGAAGTGACCACTAACTTCGTTATTTTAAAGGGAATACCCCATATTTTTTTTTAATTTTAGATTTAGCATGAAATTCTGTAAACAACGATACCCCATTTGCCTATTCTAGTTATAGCGGATTTGGCGTTATTCAATTTTTTTCTACATTTTTAGTCGCCGGTAGACATTTTCTTAAAGTCGTCTATCTCAGGTACTATATCTATCAGATACTTAAAATTTTAACCAGAGGTAGTAGATGGGATGTACTTCTTGAGAATATTTGGTTATTCATTATTTGTTGTACGGGGTGTTTGCAAATTATTTTTAAAAATGAAATTTTTCAAACATAAAAAACTTTTTTATTTTAAAGAGAACACCCTATATATTTTTTAAATTTAGGATTCAGCATGAAATTCTGTAAACAATGATACCATATTTGCCTTTGGTAACTATAGCGGATTTGGCGTTATTCATTTTTTTTTTAATTTTTAGTCGTCGCGCCGGTAGGCATTTTCTTAAAGTCGACTGTCTCAGGTACTATTTCTGTTGGATACTTGAAATTTTAGCCAGAAGTAGTAGATGGGATGTACTTTTAAAAACATTTACAGTTTTCTGCAACAAAATATGTCGTATAAAAAGTTTAAATTTTTTTAATGATAAGGTACTTACTAACTAAAAACAATTTTTATTAAAAGCACATGGTTTAAAAAAATCATTTTATCAAATGTTCAAAATGCCCCCCGTTAGCTTCTAAACATTTTAACAATCTTTTTTCAACATGATTAGTTGTTGCTTTACGAATCATTTCACCATCTAACTCGTTAAAGGCATTCCGAACTCTTTGCTCTAATTCTTCTTTAGTATTAATTTGGGTAGAGTACACTAAATTTTTAATATGACCCCATAAAAAATTCAACAGGAGTTAGATCTGGCGATCTTGCAGGCCAAAGCCAAGGACCATTTGGACCTATCCATCGGTCTTCAAAGAGTGCTGTAATTTCTTGATTTACATAGTATGTTGAATGTGCTGGGGCACCATCCAACTGGTACCAAAAATTATTATTTGGTAGCTGGTTTAAAATGTCGGCAACTACTACTCTAAGAATTATAATGTATCTTTCTGAGATCAGTCTTTCATTATAAATGTAATAAAAAGCTCTTCCAAAACCGATCACTGCAAACACATTAAAACTAAATTCGTACTGAAATTGTGCTTCACGATAAAAATGTGGATTTTCGTTTGCCCAGAAATGACATTGCTTGCAATTGATGATCCCTTTACGTGTAAATTTCGACTCGTCTGACCACAAATTTTTGTTTAAAATCTCGGGATCTTCTTGAATTCGTACCAATAACCATTCGCATAATTCAGTTCGTCTTATTTGATCACCATCTCGCAACTCATGAACTTTTCTTTGTGCATAGGGATGCCATTTATTTAGTGCTAAAATTCGTTGTATTGACCCTCGACTAATATTTAAATTATCTTGAGCCATTCTAATGGAGGCGTGAGGATACGCAGTAAAATACCCTAATACGTTAATTACATTAACTTCTTCATCTCGGACATAATGTTGACGGTTTCTTCCCGGGTTTTGTTTAAAATTATTCAAAAAGTTAGCTTCGATTCTATCAAATTTCTGTCTGTTCATTGGTGGTAAATGAGGATATCGTTCATTAAACATGCGGCAGGTTCTACTTTTGATTCGATTACATTCTCCATGAATGTAAAATAAATTAAGAATATCTTGGTTGGTATATTCTTCAATATTTTCCATATTTTGAACGCAAAAAATACACAACTTAAATACATAGAAATATGACAATTCAGTTTGTTGACAGATTGTTGTTTAGCATATTTCCACGGCATACTAAGATAAAAAATTAAAATGTAAAACTATACTATATTATGTAGGTGCATGCGTAAAATTTAAATTTAAATTTTCTTAAAATTGGTGAGAGATAATTATAGGGAATTATTAGTGCAAATAAAGATCAATGAAGAATAATTTTCTGAACAAAATGAAATAAAAATATACAGGATTTTCCATTTAAAATAAAAAAATTTTCATGTTTAAAATATTTATTTTTTAATATAATTTCCAAACACACAGTCGAACAAACGATGTACAAGTAAATTTAAAAAAGCAAATGTCTGCCGGCATATAAAAGTTTATAAAAAACTGAATAACGCCAAATACACTATAATTAGAATAGGCGAATGGGGTATCATTGTTTACAGAATTTCATGCTGAACCTAAAATTTAAAAAATATATAGAGTGTTCAATTTAAAATAAAAAAGTTTTTTATGTTTAAAAAATTTCATTTTTAAAAATAATTTGCAAACACCCCGTACAACAAATAATGAATAACTAAATATTCTCAAGAAGTACATCCCATCTACTACCTCTGGTTAAAATTTTAAGTATCTGATAGATATAGTACCTGAGATAGACGACTTTAAGAAAATGTCTACCGGCGACTAAAAATGTAGAAAAAAATTGAATAACGCCAAATCCGCTATAACTAGAATAGGCAAATGGGGTATCGTTGTTTACAAAATTTCATGCTGAATCTAAAATTAAAAAAAAATATGGGGTATTCCCTTTAAAATAACGAAGTTAGTGGTCACTTCCGGTATAACCGGAAGTTGCACAGAGTTCATTTTACTTTAATTCAAAAGAGCATATTCGATTATGTATACTCAGAAAATGGCGAAAATACAAATTAATTTATTCTCCATAAAGTTGTAATGCCCGCCTTACGTGGAACACGGTGTATATAAATGTTTAATACAATTTGGCTAGCGCTTTCGACAAAACATTGTCATATTCAGGCCGTCCTACAAAGTTTAAAATTTAATACGAGAAGTAAGGGTGAAAGAATTGAATTAAGATTATTTAATGTATTATCCTTTCATGAAAGTAGTACCTACAGATGTTGATATATTTTAACTCACTATTTATTATTGAAAATTTGAATACCTGCTAGTTTTATTATAAAATTTAAGGTCAGTTTCACTTGTAATTTATTTGGCCTCCTGATTGAAGAGAAGCGTTTTAAGTATTATAAAATCTAATATCCAAATAATAATTAAAAATCTTATAATGGCTATTTCACCGAAGGCTTAAATCTGGTTCTAAGATACAAAAAGGGGAACTTAAATGACAAAATACTAATCTCTATTCCAATCAACTCCTTATGCATCACCTACCTCTGCAAAAATAAATAAACAAGTTATAAAGGTAATTTTAAAAAACCGACTTCAAAATCGTACAGATACTCTTAAAACTTGAGTTTTTTTTTATTTTCTCATAGATCATCGGATCCTGACCAATTGTATATGGGTACCCCACACCTGAGATATCCCCTTTCTAATAAAAAAGAATCATAGAAATTGAACAATGTGGTAAAGAATTATCGCTGAAAATACATAAGAATTATGAGTTTGATGATTTTCTCATGGATCACATTATTAGATCTTAACCAAATTTATATAGGACCACCCCTGAGGTATCTCTTTCTAACAAAAAAAGAATCATAAATATCGGATATCGTTGCAAAGAATTATCGCTGCTTGTCAGATTCAATACAATTATAATTAAAACTAAACATTTTTAAAGTA